AAAATCAATTTCTTCTTCGTTAATCTTCAACCCGAACTTTGAATCTTCAATCTCTTGTCTTAATTGCTCTTAAATCTTGTGCTAGCCCATTTCTTGTGATGAAAAATAGGATTTGATATGTTGTCTCTCGTTCACGCCGCCCTCTTCTCTTAAAAATTAGGTTAAATGTGATTTTCATAAGAATTTGGATAAAAAAAGGAAATTGGGCCGTTTAGGCCCAAAAATGGCACGTGTGCGCGCGCCGTTATACAATTTTTTATTTGTTGCACTTTCGTTCATGAATTTAATTTTTTACTAATTCCGGTTCCTTCTTCGTCCCAAAAATGGTCCGTGCGCGCGTGCCGTTATACAATTTTCTATTTATTGCACTTTCATCCCTGAATTTCATTCTTTAGTAATTTTGGTTCCTTCTTCGTATTTTCTTGATCCTCCATCTTCCAACTTCATCTAATTGACTCCAACCATTCTCCAATCATCGATACTAGGTCCAAATCATCTATTATCATGTTGCAATTTAGTCCCCAAACTTTGGATTATGTCCACTTTAGTTAATTTTCTGCTAATTTTCTTCAATTCCATTGTTTTTCATCGAGATGCACCTAACAAACAAACGATACACAAAATTAAGTCTCAATTCATTTAAAATAATAATAATTGCTCTAGTTTAATGGTACGAATAAGTGTCTAAAATACACTTGTCACACAACATGATTCATTCAATTAAAGTGTAGTGGCTAATGATCCACAAAATGATTGTAGAAAAAGTATATTAATACCTTAACAGACTTTGTAGATTTGGAATAAAAAGGGACGCCAATGAAGCTTTCGGCTTTGGGGAAGAGCTATGAGTTAATTATAAATAGGAAATATCCTCAATTTTAACTCAATAACATTTAGTGGGGCATAAAATTTGTCATATTAAGTAATTAGATACCTATTCCTTTCCTACTAACTTATTTAGCCCCAAAACTTGATTTATTATGATTCATTTATTGAAAACCTAATTATTATTCTTTTAATTAACTGACCTTTAAAGTAAAAGTGCACGTGATAAATTAAATCATATAAGGTATACTTTAATCAAAGTTTACTAAAACTATAAACATATTACTTAAATAAATAGGCACGTTGACCGTCTTAGGCGTCCAAGGTATACTTCAACGTAAGAAATATAGTTAGTCACGACAAATAATTATATTAAAATTAAGTAGTAATCGTAGCATTAATACAATTAATCTAGATAAACAAATTTTGGTTATAGTTTTCCGTGCGATTGGCATGTCTATTTGCGACCTCTTTGGTAATATTATCGAAATACCGTATAAACATATGCCGGATACTAGCTAACCGAATGTTAACCAAATTATTACAACTCAAATACTTTATTAATTACAATAAAATTGAACAAGTAATCTAAATTGTTTTTAAAAAGATAAATCGAATGAACCGAGGCCTGTGTGAACAAAGTTTTCTTAAAACAGATTGGCCCTTCACCATAGGTGCTTGAGGTTTAGTTCGAGCGTCTGTTTCTCAAAATACAAGGTAAAATCAGTAGAGTCTGAACACTGCAGATACTATACCGGCAAACTGACTTAGTATCTGAACACTATCACCAAAATTTTAACATAAAATAAATTATGTATGCAGACTGGTTTTTCTTTTTATGCAGAAAAATAATTTTCTTCGTGTGTATATAATGGAGGAAGATGGCTGAATAAATAGACTGTAATGGATTAACAACCATGAGTTATGTTATTAACCACCATTAATCTGGCTGTTAATCTTTCTATTAATACATGCATAATCACATGAGTTTCAG